AGGGTTTTCCAGGGGCCTGGCAGCATGCACAGCGGCAGTATGCGGGAATAATTTTGACCAGGTTTGTGTTAGGGACCGACCCTCCCAAACCGCTCTGTACGCCGCCAGGACTGTCACTGCGATAGAAGAGTTATCATCACTAAGCCCCCACCAGCTCTTCCCTTCCTGGCTGTGGTGATGAACATCTGTGCAGATTCCTTTAGCTGCATCAGTCCAGCTTTGATAGAAATAAACATTCCCACCGCACCTACCATCCTGCAAAACTAAAACTACGTATTAGGGTATTTTACTGGAAGACCAGCCTGAAAATCCTGCAGCATTTTTCAACGACAGACCCCCCTGCACACAGCAGGAAAGCCTTCACCTGGCTAACAGGTCTGACCAAATCTCCGACACGTCACTTAGTCCCCCCGCAAGAGCCCAGCCACCACAGGCGCACAGAGCCAGGCAGGCTTGCTGTCGCTCCCGGTGACGCCCTCGGAGGGCTCCTGGCCCACAGGCTGGTTGGTTTGTGAAGCAGAGCACTATTTCCAGAGCACCTGCCTGCCTTGTTTTTGATTAACCACAAACAGCCACTGCTCTGTATTAAATTAAGAGCACAAATCTGAATAAAGACCATAAAGTTATTTAACAAGTCAGATAAGAACACGCTGTGCTGCGGAAGAGCAGGCGGGAGGGGAAGGCGCTTATACAGAACGGTGACCAACGATATTCACGACCTTTCTTTCCAGTTCATGACAAAGCTTTAGAGCAAAGTCTTGAGATGTTACCTTTGGTGTATTCCCATGTTCAACATCTGGCACAGATGTGCTACATAACTGGATAAAGTGTGCGTTCATTTCCAGACCGCACCATGGAACCATCCGTTAGGACAGAAGCACGGCCCACCCCGTTCAGTCGGGAATAGTTGGGAGCAGACTGATCTTTAGCACCCGAGACACCCACCACCACTGCAGTTCGAGCCCCCTTGCAGCCCTTCTGCCAGCACATCCCCGTGGCGGTGAGCCAGCCTGGGTGATGCTGAACGAACAGTGAGCGCTGGGCACACCATCGTCCCCTACAGCAATTTGGAGCCATTTGATTCTTTTTTTTTGTCACACTGCATCTGTTATCAAGCCTGCCAATACCCAGCCATCAGACCGATGTGCCACTACGCTGCATACGGAGATCAGGGCTGTCCCAGGAACCCCAGGGAGCAAGGATAATTCCTCTGACTTTCCCAGAAAGGCAGCCAGAATGTTGAATGATCTTCCAAAAAGCCACCAGAGACCAAATAATTCAACTCAGCAGTTTTTATTTATATAACACAGGTTCTTACTTTGCCATGGCTTTTACACGGCTGTCTCCATCATACATAAATGATATAATGGTACAGAAAGTTCAATAAATGTCAGCTTGTGAGTATAAAGTGTTAAATCTTCTGATTGCAAGAGGAGAAGCATCTATCAGCATTCCACCCGGAAAACAAAACCCACCGCGCCACGTAACACAATGGCTGAGTCGAGAACAGTACTAATTAAAACCAGCAGCAAGCTGCGAGCTGCTGGACAATAACGTTAAAAACCATTTTTCCTGTAATTTACAAATATGCAAAGTATCAGGTTACTTAAAATTAAGAAGCATTTTGCTTACTAACATGAAACATTACTAATCTGTAATGTATCGTAATTCACCGGGCATACAGGTGTCTGTGTCCCTGTGGTTCGCGTGGCACATGGTGCCAGTCTGGGTAGGTCACGCTCGGACAGGCCGAGGGAAGAACAGCGACAGCCCGACCCGCTCCCCAGGAGGGCTCTCGGGAGGAGCTGTGTTCCACTCTCCCCTTCATCATTTTCCACTCCACAACCTTGGTTTAACCACAAGATGGACGTATTTAAAAAACATAACAAAAACCACAGATACAATGTGTATCAACAAATCAACTGCTTCTGGCCCGCACGTGCAAGAACCATCTCTGCATTCTAAGCACGATGAAATCCCAGGACCAGAACCAATTACTACAGCAATTGGGTTTGCATATTTAAAATCTGTTACAGTATCTACAGTAAAAAACATCTTTCAGAGCAAGAGGGAACAAGGGGGAACGGTCTTACCAAGTAAGCCTTAGTCTATATTTTTGGATGCTGCTGTGAGTTTGATGAAGCTGGAGGGGCCAGGGAAACGTTAGTAGGAAGGAAGATGAAGCAACAGCTTTACAGAGAAAGATTTGAAGGACTGGTCAGTAACAGCACTGGCAGCAGTCCAGGCACGGCTACAGCCGTTCCTCTGCACAGGCAGAACTATTGCTGGCTGAAGACAAAAGGCACAACGTCGTAAATCCTCCTCGTCAGTATGGTACAGAGATGGCCCCAGCCAGGGTACCAGCCAGGGTTAATGGTTCAGAGCAGCATCAACAGCGCAGTCACCCACGTGTTCTGACAACTGCATTTGTCAGCAAATGCCAAACACACAACTCGCATGTAGCTTTGGAGCAGCGTCAGGCCTCTCATCCTGAGACAGGATTGCATTCCCAGCTCCTCTTATTTCTGGGAGCCGAGCAGCGGGCTAAGCACTTGTGGTACATATCGGAGAATTACCTTGTCTCAGGAAGGTAAGCGTGAGCGGGATGGCTATGGAAAGCATCATTGAAGAAGTGCACCAATAAAACCAAATTAAAGCCAGCTAAACCGAGCTTCACACGAGATTTATAACCCAACGTTTTCCACATGGTAGGATTTAGTAAAGAGGCTTAGTAAGAGCTAAGAACAGTCCTGACAATGCAATTCAGCCTTCACAAACAAGCCTCACACCACCGCAAAGGCAGCAGTACCCCCTTATCTTCCACATGGTCCCCAGTCCTCCCTCCCCGTGCCTGGTAACACACTAAGCCATCTCAAAACTGAAGCTGATGGGAGGAGTAAGGTCACATCCCATTCTGAACAACTGCAGGAATTTAGGGTGTGCCTGACTCCCCATGCAACCCCAGAGGAAAAGTCCTGCTCTGAAGGTGCCACCTCTTCTGTTCAGCACCCAGAGCCTCTTCGCCATTCTCTGGGGCAGATGGGGCCCTAGGCTGCCTCTCTAAGGGGCACGCTGTCATGTCTGGACCAGAATTTTCTGCGAGCATACCACATCTGGTATCCGGCCTCCAACTGGAGCCCGGTACTTCCAAGGAGTAAGGAGGAGCCCTCAGAAGGCGTCTGTGGCAGCTACAGAGTGCAAACACGAGCTTTTCACGTGCCTGGCTGCCCTCGGCACCTGCCTCATATACCCGGGTTCTGAGACTTGTACGTTAGTATCTCTGCAGCTAGCCTTTGGGGATCCAGCAGCCGAGGGAAACGGCTCATCACAGCATCAACTAAATGGGGGTGGAATATGCCACACAGCTTGACGTGCACATTGGCCCGCTCCTCTGCAAACTGGTCAGAGACAGCCCACTGGCAGGAGTCCCCGTACGCTGGCCCCGGGGCCCTCTGTACGGAGCGAGGATCTCGCACGCTGGTAGATCTCACTTGAGGAGGTGGCATCTGGTATGGTTCAGACCAGTACTCGCGAGAATGGTGCGGAGGGGCATTATACTCACTGGGCAGACTGTACTGCCCAGCATTAGCTGGGTGTACAGCTACTCCATAGCCTGAGAAAGAGTGAGGTGGTCCTGAGTGAGACATCTCAGGGCTGTACTGCAAGAAGCTAGCACCAGAGGAAGAAGATTTATGGGAACCATGCTTGTAAGAGACCAGACCATTTTGCTCTAAGCTGGGAGAATGTGGGTAGACAGGTCTCTGCCTACCGCAGGTGCAGACTGCCACCTGATCAGCGTGGGAATGATCACAGTGACTGGTAGCTCTGTAAGGCCACATGTCAGACAGTTGGTTCTCCAAAGACCCAATGCCCGAGTCGAGATGCTCCTGAGAGATATAAGACAGAGAGTCCATATGAGGCTGCTGGTACCTGTCAGAGGACCTGTGGCTCCCACTGTTAGGAGGGACACTGCCTGACACACAGCCTTTGACCTGAAGCGGAAGATCACCGGGCTTTGCTTTGTGGGTCAAGCTCTTCCTCTCTGCAGAGACCTTCTGCAAAGAGCTTTTATCACCCTCTGTGTGCACAGAGCACAAGAGCTCTGCCTGGGAACCTCTTTTGCCCTTTTTCTCCTCCTTGGCATTGGTACTTCTGGTAGGAGACAACCTTGCATTGGCCCGGAGTTCATCAGCTAATGAGCGCTGGGGCTGATTGATCCTTTCAGGGTGGTAGAATTTACACTTAATTCCGTAAGTGCATTTCTTTCCTGCAAGGAGAGGCAGAGCATGGAATGAGCGTGGAGTGACCACCTGAATTTTACTAAATGCATGAATTACACTCGCGCAGACACCTCAGTCTTCATGTTTCGAAGGCAAGTCTTACCGTAAGGGCACTGTTGTTTCTTGTGTTCTGGCACCACGGGTTTCTTTCTGAGAAAGTTATCCAAGCTGGGGCCATGTCGTCCCAAGGGATCATCTGGAGGCATAAATCTAAAGAAAAATAAATCTCAGTCAGGAGCTGTTCACTTTCTTGGGTCAGGGTTTAATTTCTTCTAGAAGTCTCCCACTTCATTGAAGGTTAAAGCTACCTGAGCCCTAAAAAGCTTTCCCATTTCACTGCAATGACAACTCTCCCATCACCTAGTAAAGGCCGGCATGAAGGGCTTCACTTTGGGCACAGAGGAGGTTTTGTGCTCTGGTGCTGGCCAGAATTAGTACTTGCTGCTGGGCCTGCTCATGATGGTCCTGTCTTGCGAGGAAGTTGAGTCCTGGAGCTCTCCTAGGAACTCCACTACGGCAGAACTCCTAGCTCCAAACCACAAACAGCCATTAAGGGAGGTTCCAATTCCTTATGCCTTTGTACCTCACCACAGTTCTTCCCATCATACTTCCTTCTACCAAAAAGTATCTCTGCAGGTTTTTTTTTTTTTTCCATTCTGTACCAGCATTTTGATCTTTTCATGCATCATTTGCCATTGCTTCATGAAAACAAGACAACATGCTCACATGGATTTTTTTTTTTTTTTTTCCAATGCTCCGAGGGCCGGAGCCCCTCTGCTCTGAGGCCAGGCTGGGAGAGTTGGGGGTGTTCAGCCTGGAGAAGAGAAGGCTGCGGGCAGAGCTGAGTGCGGCCGGGCAGGGCTTAAAGGGGGCCCAGAGGAAAGGGGGGGACAAGCTTTTTAGTAGGGCCAGCTGGGATAGGACAAGGGGGGATGGCTTTAAACTGAAGCAGGGGAGGTTTAGACTGGATCTAAGGAAGAAATTCTTTCCAGTGAGGGTGGTGAAACCCTGGCAGGGGTTGCCCAGAGAGGGGGTGGAGGCCCCATCCCTGGGAACATTCCAGGCCAGGTTGGCCGGGGCTGTGAGCAACCCGATCTGGTTCAAGGTGTCCCTGCTCCTGCAGGGGGGTTGGGCTGGGTGACCTCGAGGGGCCCCTTCCAGCCCAAAACATTCTATGATTCTATGATTAAAAGCAAAGGAAGAATGGGAACGTACTTGTCGTTAACAAAGGAATACATCAGCAGACGCTCCTCAATGAACTTCTTCCACTCGGGACGCTCGTTCTGCAGGTCCCGATAAGTATCATTGGAAACCACAATGCCATCAGACTCGTGTGCCAGTTTCACAATGAATCGATCGTCATAACAGACAACACGCTTGCCTCCAACCCGCCTGGAAGGAGTGAAGACCAGAATTTTCTTCTTTTCAAGGTCACGGAGAATGTACTGGTCTGGAACAAACACAACTGTGAACACGCTTACACAGCCCAGAGGCCTTTGCACAAATAAAGTAACATTATAAATAAATGACAAAATTAATGTAAAGTCATTTCACCTCTCCACAACCCAGCCTGTATTCTCATCTCTCATCTTACGCCACCCATCAGGCGGCTGTCAGAGGTGGATTCCTAGCCACAGTCTCTGCACGGCACCCGGGAGCACTCTGAGCCCTCCACAGAGGCTGCTGTAACACAGCAAGTCCCGTCCACGTAATCCTTTGCATGCATCAGAGCACGATTTGCGTTTAAGACTGGCAGGCTTTCGTAGTGCCATGCTACAGGCAGAGATTTCTGAGCAGCGTCACTTGGACGTCTCAGCTGCTTGCAAGTTCAGACCAAACTCCCCTCAATTTGAATGATTCGGACTAAACTCCCATCAAGCTTTAACTTTTAGCACGCAGAAATTCTGTATGGTCTATGGCATCAGATACGTTACAGTTAAGCACATAGCATGAAGACGTGCCTCAGAGGAAAAAAGTGCAGGTAGTTAAGAGACAAGAAGCTCGGAAGCGGAGTAGCATTACATTCTTTGTTCTCCGAATTATTTTAGCTGACCCAGGCAAGAACTTGCTTAGGGAGAAGTTAATGACTAATTCTCACTGGTCAGCTCAGCTTACTGGATCTCCTACTACTTCAACCTCCCATTCATAAGTTAATTACTAACCAGCCAGACCTTTGCAAGCTCATTAAGTGACAGAGCAGGGAGCCCGAAGAGCTACTTTCAGTTTTCATATTTCCACACCTGTTATAAGCACATCTGGCCGTGGCTGCTCCTTCCTCCACGATGGCACAAAGACTGTAATATCCTTGTGTCCCCTGTCCCAAAACCACTGGACAGCCAGAAGGATACCTCGGCAGGAGAACACTTCTTTATTTCCATGGCTGCACAGAAGAAGAAAAAGCGAGAATTTCAATGTTCGGGTTATGCACAGGCTGGCCAGGCAACACGCTAAGCCAACGGCTCCCGCAGGTCAGACAGCCCTTAGTGAATGACGGGGCGTTAGAGCAGCACGATCAGCGCTCCTTGCTCATCTCACGTACACAGCAGCGCCAAGATCTTCACAGAATCCACGTTGCTTTTAGCACCTCAGTACAGCAATAAATACCCAAATCCTCAGCAGGAGGGAGAAAGCAGCCGTAACTGCTGCTGCTGCTCCGAAACCCAGCCTTCGCTTCAACTCTGGACTCTAGATCTTTATTTTTAGCCCTGCCCGAGTACAATGTGATCTTGAGCACCCTTTGTCCTATTCTCCCAGCCAGCACCAGTGGCTAACCTCTGCCAGTGCAAGCCGTACCCTCACGAGGTGTTTTGCTTGTAAAGTTAAGGAAAACAAGACGTTTTATGCGCTCAAGGACATAGCCACTGAGCCAAGATGCTTCTTCATTATACGATGGTCCAAAAAGTCAGCTACAAATGCACTGTTTGCACAAACCAGCAACAGCTCCTGTCGTCTACAGGATCGGTGCCAAACGTCTTAACAGCACTTGGCAGTTTGAAAACAAAGTTTGACAACAGCATCAGAAGCTACGTACCAACACGAAAAGCTGATTCTTAATTATTCATTCGGTCATATCAATAAGTTTCCCAAACTTCTGAGAGGAAACTACCACTCCTGTTTTACGAGTGCCAGTATTTACAGTGTAATCAGCTCCTCTGTTGATAATAGTTCTGGCAAACTTTCAACATTCCTGTGTTACAGCCCAACTCGTCACGCTGGGGATCCAACAGCCTGCGGTCAGGATGACACCCTGGTAAGATGCACCATGCTGCAGGTAACTGCTCACACAGTTCAGTAAGATTTTCCCCACCTGGGCACTACCCCTACCCCAGGTCTTGCTCACCCCATCCACACCTGAGTGACATTTCAACTCCCACCACCTCCTGGCACACTAGTGACCTCCTCCACACAGCCATTACTCAAGAGCTTCCAGCCCAGCAGAGGCACTGCTGAGAAGTACTATTGCTGTAGTACAACCATACCACGAGAAGGAAACTTTCTCCTCCTGCCCTCACCCTTCTCTGAAGCTACTAAGGAAACTGAAGAGTCGGACCATAGTAATTGTTGTGTAGGAACTATACCTCTAACACCAAACCCAACACCTAAAGAGACACCCAACACATCTTCATGAAGAACCCCAAACTACAGGAAGGCTGACATCAACCATCAGAAGAAAGATGCTCCAAAAACCTTCTCCAGTGTCGGACTGGTTTTGCTGTCGGTAGCCAGGCACAGGTTACCAGAGGCCTTCAGAGAGAAAGGAGGAAAGCAGAGATTTTTTTTTTTTTTTTTTGAGTCCCTGCTGCCAATCTCAAATCTACAGAAAGCAGCTAATTGGGCTGATCTGATTTGGTAGAAGCCAAGAAAAAATTCCCTTAGAAGGAAGTAAAAGCTAATTTCCACTATGATTTGCATATGTTTGTCAAGAGCTGTTCAGGGAGGCCGCTGTACACACTGCAAATGAATCAGCAGGGAACATCACACCATCAATACAGGAAGTTTCAGAATGGAATTCCCCTTCTAGCGAATTGCTTAAAAAAGCCAGACTGCTTTTCTCATGTCAAACCCTGTCCTATCGGCAGCGCTATACCACCCGGCCTGCCCCCAGCCACATTTGCTGTGATCTCTCCTGTGCTTTTGGGGATAATTTTCACGGATAAGAGGCCCCTCACTCAAGAAACACAACCAACTCTGTGGTTTAAGCCTCAGCTTAAGTTTATCTAAGGCAAACTTCACTGCCAGAACCACACGTCTCACGACAGGCCGCTTTCCCCAAGTGACTGCGCAGCTGCTGGAGAGCAGCAGCAACAGGACCGCGCGCTCCCGCAGACGCCCAGGTCACATCCTTCACTCTCCAGCCCTGCTCCATTGCCATCAGAATTCCTTATTTGCCCTGGGACTCGCAGGCTCTGATCCTCAGTCACACAGCAGACTGCACCCCACCTTTTCTCAGAACCATCAACCACAGCTTGGAGAAAGCCACACCTGCAGACACATCTCCACTCAGCACTTTCACCTTAGGCAAAGCCTGCAGCAACGCATGCAGCAGCTCTGTGTGCACCCCCTTGGCTCTTGGGGGTCTTCCTAACAAGGTCTGCGTACCCAAACACACGTTACAAGCTCTATTAAGCCAAAGCAGGGCGAAGGAGGCAACTTTTGAACGACAGAGCCAATTCAGAAGCCTGGTGCATTAACTGAATGGAGCCCAGACCCCCTGCGAGGAGGTGGGGAGCACAGCACCAGGGGCTGGGGCAGGCAGCGCTCACCATCGGGGGCACACTCCCAAGTTACTGCTCCAACCCACGGGGCTTTGCAGGCTGCCTCTGGCTGCAGCACCTGACAGGACCTGCGCCACGGGCACCGAACACCTGAGCTGCCGAGGGCTGCCGCCCTGCCTTGGTGCCCCTTTGGCGTCCACTCTCTGCACTGCACGGGAATTCAGCCAAAATACAGGAGTCACGATTTAGAGACTGGTCTCCAACGCAGGAGACAGCTCCATGTTACCGAGTCTTCTCTAATTAAACCCGTAATTATTTATTGAGCAACTTCCTGCTGCAGAAACTTACATAAAGCCATTAGGTAAGAGGAGAACGTATCTTCAGTTATCCTCCTCCTAAGCCAGAAAACAGACGGAAATTTCTTTATTTCCCAATCACGCCCGCTCTCGTCAGAGCCCTGTGACCACTGGCCACGGGCTGGCAGAGACCACGGGCAGGAGGGGCCGTCGAGGCAGACCGCGCCTGCGGACGCGATGCTCATCCTCGCGGGAGCCATGCACGCCGCTGAGGCGCCTTGGAAAATATTACCAGCCACTTACCCGGGCACGCCGCCCTGGCTGCTCGCAGCGAGAACCCCCCGGCGCTTGTCAGAGCCCGAGCCCTCCGCGCTGGAGGCCACGCAAAGCCACCGCCTGCCCGGGCCCCCCCAGCGCCCCCCCAGGCGCCCCCCACGCACCTCATGGCCACGTTGCTGCCGTCGATGACGATGGGCTTCAGGTTCTCGGCATCC